CATACAACCCGTGGCACATTTCATACAACCCGTGGCACATTTCATACCACCCGTGGCACATTTCATACCACCCGTGGCACATTTCATACCACCGTGAGATGGCTGATGGCTCACGTCTTTACCTGGGCTGCTGCGTTGCCTCTTGTTGCTTCATGTTTCAGCCACATGAAGACATCACCATCTTCTTTAGTTTGGACCTTTAGCATCTCATCATCCTTCAGTCTTATTGTTTCTACATATGCCTAAAACATGAGCGAAACCACAGAACATCAGAGATGACGTGGGGGGCCTTAGAGTTATCTAGTCCAATTATCTCATTTAAGGCATAAGGAAAATTAGGGTTCAATGACTTGGCCACTTGGCTAGCCGGTGAGTCAGTGGCAGACCTGGGACCAGGACCTTTGTCTCCTGACTCCGAGCTCCACCTTTCTGTTCCCAGAATGATACAGGAAGTTACAAAAGGTGAAGGGCTATTATGCATTTTCCATTTTCGTTAGCAGAATGGACCGATCTAAACTCTAAAATACAGCATGTATTTTTTGAACGGGAAAGCAAGCCTGCCTGAATAAATAGCCAAATGATTGTTGTCCCCAACGTGCTTATTCCAATAATGGTGCCATTGCTCAGAACATTGAAATTGCTCTTTCTGGTCTATCTTCAGAGACAATTTAAGGGACACCAAAGAAAATAAACCTATTCACTTATTGTTGTACATCATTTTGTGACCAAATAAAGCATTACTCAAATTAACAAATGTCATTATGATTATTATTTAAATAATACCTAACTTGGTAGCATATTTACTATATTTATTTCAGCTGATGCATTCTCTACTAGGTGTGGGGAACCCCGTCCTGAACACACTTGGGACTAAGCCCTTTTTGGTAACACATCTGCCCTGGCTCTTTCTGGTTGATTCCTTGACACTAGCTAGCATTTACATAGCATTTTAGGGGTTTGCCAGGTGCTTTCCATATTATCTTATTTGATCCTCACAACAACCCTGAGAGGTGGATACTATTTGTATCCTGACTTTACAAATGACGAAACTGAGGCAGGCGGAGGTTAAGTGATTTCCCAGGGGTCACGCTGCTAATAAGTACTGGAGACAGGATTCAGACTCAGGTTTTCCTAACTCCAGATACAGCATTCTATCCACTTAGCTACCTTGATAAAAGAGGCTTCTGGTTGAAGACATCCTGCCACTTACTACTTTCCTGCACTCACCTTCATGGAAAGGTTGCTCCATCAAAGACAATGAGCCACCGAACAGCAAGTTCACTCAGAAGATTTAAGAGAGAGACAACTTCTGCTCTCGCGCTAGCTCACACAGCTAGTATTATGTGCCTGAGGTCAGATTTGAACTCAGTCTCTCTTCTTCCTCTCTTCTGAGTGTGTGGTTTGGGACTTGGACAGCCCTTTGAATTCCCATTCAAGTAGTCACTTTGATACTTCTTCCTATGATGAAACAATATGTCTTCTAATCATTGTCCAAAATATTCTTGGAACTCTTTCATTAAAGGAGCCAGCTAGGTGGCTCAATGGATGTAGCATCAGAAAGACCAGAGGTCAAATCCAGTCTCGGACACTTACTAACTGTGTGACTATGGGCAAGTTACTTCACCTCTATCTACCTCAGTTTCCCCAGTTACAAAAATTACACATATATACATACACCAGTGGAGTGAAACAAGGCTGTGTGCTTGCTCCCATGCTTTTTAGCATGATGTTTTCAGCCATGTTGTTCAATGCTTTCAACAATAACACCTACCTGGGCATGATAATAACACCACCACAACGTAACTGGTACAGTTGTGGTGAGGATAAAATCAGTTGAGATTTGTAAAGGGCTTGGCATGGTGGTTAATAAATGTTTCTTTCCTTCTCCTCTTCTACTGACCCTGCAGCTTGAATATCTCTTGAATACCTTCAGTGGTGGCAAATCTTAGCCCTTTTTGGAGGGTTGATTTAATTTTATTTAAATAATTGGACAAAGACAATTAAGATACATAAGTCCTAATATGTTTGGGGAAAAGAGTGGTCACATACACATAGTGACATCTAAGAACGATGCAAGGGTTGCTTTCAGAGAGTGGTTCCTGTTCTGGCTGCTCCCAGACCCATTCATTTCATGAGCAGGTGGTGAAACAACCAGAGATATTGGATCCAGACCTAATTTGAGAAGGAGGCCCCAGACAGCAATGGAATGGCTTTGATTTCCCTTTTGACACTCTCTTAATGAGGGTTAACAAAAACACCTGGCATCACAGAGTCTACTCTGGAGTTCTATTTATGCAGCTTAGGTCTCTGTTTTCCAGATGTTGACATGTGGAGTAAGGGTCCTGTAACACCGTAAGAGCAGGTTAGGGGCCCGAGGCAGGACTATAATATAGCATCAGGGGCACTGGCAGGCATTAAAGCTGCATGGGGTAAGCTGGGACAAATGTCCATTATCAGTCTCTGCCAGCCACCTCACTATGTGAGGCCACTGAGCTTCTGTGGCTAAAACCGTACAAGCCGTTCTGTTCTATTTATTCCCTGTGAAGCACATTGGTCAATATTTGCTGAGGGCTCAGACTGAACATGATGCTACAGGCCAAACTTTAGGGGACAATCTAAATTCTTTGTCACGTTGGAATTTGTACTATTTCATCAAGCAATTTACTAACCGAGACTAGGAAATGGAACTTTGCTGCAGTGATTCTGTGGCAATAGGATGCTTACTAAACATCACACAGGAAGACACGGACTGTGCCCTCGAGGAGTTTATAATCTCAGATGTTCTCATTCACTATCAGCACTTGTAAGGACTAATGCTAAAGCAAAAGTGAAAGGTCCTGAGTTAGGACCATGTACCCGGGAGCATAACAAGCTTAGAGAAGGAAGGGATGGCAGAGATCATGGAGTCTGAGCTCGTCATCTTCTATATATGCTTTTTTTTTTTTTAAGGCAATTGGGGTTAAGTGACTTGCCCAGGGTCACACAGCTAGTAAGTGTCGAGTGTTTGGTCCAAGGTAGGATTTGAACTCAGGTCCTCCTGACTTCAGGACCGGTGCTCTACCCACTTCGCCACCTAGCAGCCCCTTAAAAATCTTTGATCTATATATACTTTTTTTTTTTTTAAGGCAACTGAGCTTATCATCTTACAGATGAGGCAAACAAGGCCTGGAGAAGTTAAGCAATTTCCCTAATGTCACCTAGACTAGGGCTGGCCAGGAGCAACATTGTGAACTTACTCTGGGGTGCTCCAGGTCCCCATCTCCCTTCTTTCCATTGGTGCCCGGTGCCCTCATGCTTTTTTTTCCCTTTTCAAACCTGGCTCTCAGGTCGTTCCTTTGTGATGGATAGCAGTTTCAAATATTACCTCTCCCACAGGTCTTTTTAATTTTTCAGGGATCAAACCCTTAATCTAAAGGGACTACAACCTGATCAGAGACATGTCAGATGTAAGACAATAAAAAGGCAAAAACTGGGCAGGTATAGTGGTTCTGGGCTTTCTCAGTGCCCTTGAAATTGTACCACAGAGGTGGTCATCTACTTTGCCGGCTAACATTAGTGGAACTACAGAGGTAAACAGCACCAAATCAGGGCCGTGTGCCCAGGGGACAGTCAATTAGTGCTAATTAGCACTAATGATAATTGAGGAAAGCAAAGCATTTAAAAAGAATCCTGTTCAGCTCTGGCCAGGAAAGGGGCCTTGGAGGGAAGCCAGGACCTGAGCCTACCAGGCATAAGACACAGAAGTGGATAAGAAGTAGCCTGGCCCAAGACTCCAGCTGAAAGTTGGAGAGTATAGAAGGGCAGCCAGAACACCTGCACCTTTAACCTCCATAAGGAGAGCTGCTTTTGTTTCCTCTAAGTTCCAGCTATTGAAACTCCCTAGTGCTGAGGCTAGCAGCCTTGGCCGCTCAGCATGACTGCTCCTAACAAATAACTTTCCCATCAAGTGTATTTCATGAAAGAATTATGCAGTACTGAGGTAAAAAGAAAAAAGGAAGGATACAGAAAAAGAGAACTTTGTGCAGCTGGGAAGTTGTAGCTTCCAGTGGGGGCTCACACAGGTTGCAGAGGCACCTGCATTCTCTCAAGTTATAAAACTTAATGGGTCAGCCAGCAGGCTTTGAGCTGTAAGAAGCACTCCCAGTAGGACAGGAGAGCAATTTCATAACCTACCCTTTAAACGTCTACTAACACAAACCTTCTTCAGGGCCTGCCAGAGCTGACATTGGGAACCCGGTTCTTGGGGTGTATAAGTCAGCTGTGGTATTTGGCTCCCACTAGGAAGCGATGTGGTTTCCCGCCCCACTCTTTCCACCCCACCAACTGATTTCTTGAAATTGAACATTTGAGATATTGTAGAAGTAGGAGAAAATAACTCTCTTTAATGACAACAGTGAATAGTGGGAAATGCTCAGGTTTAAAACAGCACTGGATGTCATTTTAAAATGAAACATTGGGCGCAATTTAGCCAGTGCATAAAGTGGGTCAGATGCTTTGGGTATTTACTGTTGAATATTAAATGCCAGTTGTTGCGCAGTAAAACATCAAGGTTTAAACTCAGGCCATCACACAAGCATGATAATTACTTTGTAGGAGAACAATAGCTTCTGAATAAACTTACCTTACTCATCCCAAGACATTAACACACTCACATTCCATCACTTTGTATATTAGAGACACACACAATTTGGCCAAATCTAGATGGGAAATAATGTTCTAATTGCTAATGCCAGGATGATAAGAATTAAAAAAAAAATAACATAATGGCCCTGGGGGGAAAAAAATCAAGCCACATAAATGTTGCTGTTTAGTTTTCTATTAAAGGTAAAACAGCTTCCTACTCAGCCATAAAAAAGAGAGCTCTGAAGTGAGACTACCATTAGAGTCTACTGTAAAGTTAAATTAGAGATTACTGTTAAATTAAGCAGATCATAACTCATACACTAAAAAAAATGGAGAAAAAAACACTACCTTTTCTTGATTCCTTTTTTTAAACTGATACTTCCTTTGTTAACCAAAGGTCTGGCTACAACAGTGTGTCAATTTGCTGGGTGCCACTGATGAATTAATAGATTTTCAACAAAGGGACATTTAAATTAATGTACTACATCCACTTAAATTCTCAAGAAGCCATTCATTAAATATTCTAAAGGAAACGTGAGTTCTAATACAGTCCTCCTGACTATTTAATTTGCAGGCACAATTCTTCATTGTGTTGTTTTCTATCAGCAAGGAAGAGCATTTCATTTCATCTTTCCTGGCCCTGGCCACATGGGGGGCAAATAAATAAACATGCTTCATTTCAGAAGGGCCAAGTATCACACATTCGATTTTCATTAGGAAAGGAATCCATTAGTTTCATTCTGTATCTCTGACTAAACCAATTAATAACCATTTATTAAGCACCTACCATGTTCAAGCACTGTGCTAGGTACTGGAAATGTAGATACAAAGAACGAAACAATCATTGGACACACCCTTATGCTAAAGGGAGAGTTTTAAAAAGCACACTCTTGTGGGAGTCATTTATTTCACAACCATGAGGATGGTTAAGTTCTGTTTCCTAGACCACCAAAATTTGGCTCAGCCAGCTATGGGTAAGCTATCTGCGCTAAGGACTTCCATGTGAAATCAAAGAGCCAGGCTACATTGTCTAGCCAGGTCAAGGTAAAGAGCCAGATCCTTGGCAGGCACATGTGCCCAGCTAAGAAGGGTACAAAGTGGTATAGTTCCTACAATGACCATGACCTGACTTGGGTGGATCATCCATTCCTATTTTCTATATTGATGGCAAGAGTTTATAGAATTTATCAATACAATTAGTTTTCCATTTACACAATGGATCACTATCAACTATCTGAAAAAACATAGTGGTTAAAATTCTTCATAACTAACGTCTATTAAGTACTGATTTCCATCATCAGCTAACATCTTTCTTCAAGATAAGGTCCTGATAACTTTAGCTATGTATTGATTTTTTTATAGGAACTGTGATTTCATAGAAGAAAATGCCTCTGCCAAAGCAGAGTAACTTCTGGTCTGCAAATAATAATCCCATCAGCTTGAGCTGGGGGGAGGGGGCACAGAGATGTTTAGCGGATTGCCTGAGGTCTCACAGCCAAGATGGGTTACAAGTGGGACTTGACCTCTACCCTCTATCCATGAGGCAGTCATGGCGTCTCCATGTGAACCATCACTTAGGTATTACAAAATTTTTTATATTTTAAAGTGTGGCATAGGGAAGGGTATAGCCAGCCTTGCAGCCAAGAAGACCTAAGGTCAAGTCCCATGTGTGACACATACAGTCTGTGTGACTGGCGGCTGGCCACAGCAATTCTCTAAGACTACCTAAGTTGCAGAGGATATGCTGACCTGCATAGGGGGGTGGGGGAGGAGATTCCTTTGTGTCATAGATAGTTCCTTTTACCCATGAAATTAGAGGTCCAGTCCCTATCCCTCAGGTTCTATCTCTACCAGATCCTCAAAACCACTCCAAAAACAAAAAGAAAGAGGCAACTAGCAGCACAACCCAGTCAATTAACATTTATTAAGAAAACACCTACTGTGTGCCAGGCACTGTGCTAAGTGATAAGGATACACAAAAAGGCAAAAGACAGTCCTTGCCCTCAAGGGGCTCATTATCTAAAGGGAGAGACAACGTGCAAACAAATACATTCAAAGTAATATGTACAGGATAAATAGGAAATAGTTAAGAGAGGGAAGGCACTAGAATTAAGAGAGGTTTGGAAAGGCTTCCCTTTTAGTTGGGACTTAAAGGAAGCCAGGGAAGCCAGGAGGTGGAGATGAGGGAGAGTGTTCCAGGCATGAGGGACAGCCAGAGAAAATGTCTGAAGCTGAGAGATAGAGTGCCTTATTCAAAGAACAATCAGGAGGCCAGTGTCACTGTATCTGAGTATATGTCAGGGAGAAAGGTGTAAGATAGGGGTGGGGAACCTGCAGCCTCAAAGCCACCTGTAGCCTTCTAGGTCCTTGGGTGTGGCCCTTTGACTGAGTCCTCAGTCAAAGGGCCACACCCAAGGACCTAGAAGGCTATAAGTGGCTTCCCCACACTTGGTGTAAGAAAACTGGAAAGAGGGGGCTAGGTTATGAAGAACTTTGAGGGGCAAACAGGATTTTGTATTTGATCCTGGATGTGAGAGCCACCAAATTTACTGAGTGACATGTCGGATTGTGCTTTAGGAAAATCACTTTGGTGACTGAATGAAGGATGGTTTGGACCAGGGAGAAACTTGAAGCAGGCCTGTCAGCAGGTTATTGCAATGATTCAGGCATGAGGCCATGAGGGCCTGCACTAGAGTGGTAGCAAGATAGGGAGGGAGAAGGGGAAATATTTTAGGGATGGTACAAAGATGAAAATGACAGGTCTTGGCAATAGATTGGACATGGGAGGTGACAGATAATAAAGACACCTAGGTTGTGAGTATGAGGGACTGGGAGGATGGTGTTGTCCTCTATAGTAATAGAGAATGCAGGGGGTGGGGAGTAATGAGTTTGGTTTTGGACATGCTAATGTTCACGGGACATCATCCAGTTTGAGATGTTTGAAAGGCAATTGGAGATGTAAGATCTGAGATCAGCAGAGAGGTTAAGGCAAGATAGGTAGATCTGAAAATCATCACCAGTAGAGATGGTAAGTAAATCTAAGTTTTGGGAGCTGCAAAGTTAGGAGTAAAGGTTAGTCCTTCTCAATCAATTCTTGTTTAGAGATATGGAGATTCCCTGCTACAAATTCTCTATCTTTTGGAGGAACATGTTTGGATGGTAATATCATCATCATCATCATCATTATCTCTCACTTTTACATGATATTTTAGTTTACTAAGTACTTTTCTCGCAAAAAAGCCTGTCAAGTAGATAATTCAATCATCCTTACTTCTATTCATCAGACGAGGAAATTAAATCTCAGAGAGGGTGGTGCTTCTGCTACAGTGGCCAGATAGCTAGGCATCAAATCTAAATCCTCTAAATCTAAATCCAGAGTTTTCTCACTATTTTGGATCAGAACAAACAGTGCACATAAAACCCAGAATTGGGGCTGTAGTTAGGTTTTTTTTTGTTTGTTTTTTTGTAGTTGACATCTACCTCTTGTTCCTCACTTAACCTGCTATTGCCACTGCTCTCTTTATGCTAGCCATACCTGCCATGTGGGGGCCATTCTGGTCCTTAGCCTCATTTCATTGTGGTATCTAGAAGGGAAGTCATTATACCTGTTTTCTTTATGTACTGGGGATTGATCAAGGGCAGGAGAGGCCCCTCTCATCACTGTGACAAATTTAGGTATGAGTCCAACTCTTTAAATACCCATCCTTCCTCCTTCTAACCCTACAGAGGTTTTCAAAGACAGAAATGAGATTGTTCTTGTAAGAGAATTGAGAAACAGGATATGATGAATGCCTTTAACAAGCTCCCCTCTCAATTTAGTGAGATGCATTCTCTAGGATTTCGGGAATAAATCAGCAACAGATGCAGGCACTTTAGCTGGTTACTTTTAAAGCCTTGTATATATGGGATGTAGTCAATTCTCCCTGTTCATTAATTCTGTGTACCTGATCTCCTTGCAGAGTGTGCTGATCGAGAGGGGTCTTCGTGGCAATGTTGCTGTAATAGGCGTATGACAGTTCCCAGTCTAGTGGGTAATCATCAATACCCTGGTAATGTTTGTACCCCAGATTCATTGCAGACAGCCTCTCACTCCCCTGGGCACCGACCAAGCTATACAGCATGCCCTGTTTCAAAAACAAAACAGACAAGAGGGCCACACGAATAACTATCATCACAGAATCACTCATTTGCCAGGGATGCTGCAAGATCAGTTTAATTGTTCTCCCTCCCTCAAGACTCTCCCCACTCCAATCTATCCTTTATGCCATTATCACAGTGATTTTCAGGTGTACATATGACTATCTCACTCCAATCTCAATGTATTCCAATGGCTCCCTGTTTTCTCTAGAATAAGATGCAAACTATCCAGTTTAGTTTTTAAAGCCCTTCCCGACTTGAACCTAACCTATCTTTCTAATTCATTATAAATTACTCCTCATCTAGTACACCTGGTCCAGACAAACTGTGCTTTTCTCTGTTTCTCACAGATGGCACTCCAGCTCCCTTCTCCTTATCTTTGCTCCAGCCACCCTCAACATCTGGAATGTGTTCCCTCTTAACATCCACCTCAGAGAATCCCTCACTTCACTCAAGATTCAGCTCAGTCTCCTTCTATAGGAAGCCTTTCCTGATTTCCCTCACTTACCTATTTGCTCATTTGTCCTGCATATTGTCTTCTGCATTAGAATGTAAGCTTCCTGAGAGTAAGGATTGCTTCCCTTTTTTTTTAATCATTGGATCCCCAGCATTTAGCATTGTGCCTATTACATATCACAGACTTAATAAATATTTTCTGAATGATTGATCAGGTCTAAGAGTGCCAGTCCCAGAGTCAGGAAGATTCATCTTCTAAGTTCAAATTTGGCCTCAGGGCACTTAATAGCTCTGTGAACCTGGTCAAGTCACTTAATCCTGTTTGCCTCAGTTCTTCACTTGTAAAATGAGCTGGAGAAGGAAAACCACTCTAGTACCTTTTCCAAGAAAATCCCAAAATGGAATCATGAAGAGTCAGACATGACTGAAAGGACTGAACAAGAGCTGGAGAGAGAAATATAGGTAAAAAACAGTCCCTGTCTTCAAGGAGCTGACATCGTAATAGAGGAGACAATATGTAAATAACAAAATGATAATAATAGCTTGCATTTATATAACATTTTAAGATTTGCAAAGCATTTTACAAATGTACCTCATTTGATCCTCACAACAACCCTGGAAAGTAGGTGTTATTATTATCCCTATTTTACAGAAGAAGAAACTAGGGCAGACAGAAGTTAAGTCACTTGCCCAGGGTCACACAGCTAGTAAAGAGATCTGAGGCTGGATTTGAACTCAGGTCTTCTGACTCTAGGTCTACTACTCTATCTGCACCAGCAAGCTGCCTAAGATAAGGTGCAGGTATTACAGGTAAGGTATATATGGAGGATAGATAGAAGGTAATCTGAGAGGGAAGGTGCTAGCAGCTGGGGAGGAGGGGGGTGGTCCAGGAAAAGCCTCCCATAGAAAGTGGGATATAAGCTGAGTCTTGAAGGAAACCGGGAAACCAGAGGCAAAGATGAAGAGGGAGAGCATTCCAGGTATGGAGGGCAATAGAGGAAAGGTATGGAGATGGGAGATAGAATATTACATGTGGGGATCAGCAAGGAGGCCAGCATAGCTGGATCATGGAGTGCATGGAGGGAAGTCAACCAGAAGGGTAGCAAGTGAGAAGCCTGGAAAGGTGGGAAGGGGCCAGTGAGTGAAGAGCTTTAAATGTCCAACAGAGAACTTTTATGTTTGATCTTGCAGATAATGGGAAACGGTTGGAGTTCATTGAGTAGGGGGTGACCTACTTCAAATCTATACTTTAGGAAGATTACTTGGGCAGTTGAATGGAGGATTGGGGAGGGGGGAAGGGGTCAGGCCTTGAGTCAGGGAGACCAGTTAGAAGGTTCTTTCAGTAAGTCAGGTGAGAGGGAAGGCTGCTGCCAGACTATCTCAGAAAACGATTGCTATTTCTTACAGAACACAGAAAGACAAAGTATAAACTTCAGTGTTTCGTGACACTCAACATAATGAGATTCTTCCATATGATATAGCACATCAGAGAATGAAAAACACTTCATCTTATCCTCATTAAATAGATAATGCAGGTATTTTAATCCCTTATTTACAGATCAATCAACAAACATTTATTAAGCAGCTACTATGTACTGGGGCTGACACTAGATGCTGGGGATACTAAAATAAAAATGAAACATTCTGCCCTCAAGGAGCTTATATTCAGTCAGGGGAAAAAACAAGTATATATGAGTATATATGAAATATCTACTAATTAGACATGGGGAAGGATCAGGAGAGACTGCATACAGGAGGTGGTGCTCCAAGGAGGAAACAGGATCAGAGGAGCTGGGATTCCTTTTACTCTTTCTTCAGGGGAAATAGAGAGGAGCTGCTCAGCACAGATCAGGCACTATCCCTTTATACAGCTGAAGAATTCTAGATAGAGTCCCAGACCCTTAGATCTGGAAGGGATAGAACGATGTAGTCTAATCCCTGTAAGCTGGCTTCCTCCTCTGTCTTCTCTTCTTGGAGCCCCATAGAGGTGAAGTGATTTGCCCTAGGTCACAAAGGTAGCAAGTTAGCAGGGGCAAGATTCGAACTCAGGTCCTGTAACAAAGGTCTAAAATGACTTGCTTCAGAAGTCACCTCGTTGGTTTGTGGTGCACCCCAGGTTAGAGCTCAGGTTCCTGACCCTACTAGCTGATGCTGCCTTTACCGGGACTTCCCCCTGGCCCAGGATTCTCCACAACATTAGGGTGGAACTCTAAACAAAACTCACAGAGACCACCAACAAGGCACTGAAGAGAATCGGCAATGCCTTTGCACAATCAGGGAAGCAACTCCCAGTTGTCTGCGCTCTAAGGCAATGCAAGAATCCAGGATAATCAACAAAATATGGAAATCAGAAAACAATATGCAGATCAGGCAACATTTTATAGTATTTATGAAAAAGTGAATACAAAATATTAGATTAAGCCACATCGTGAATTTGTTCGGTTTGTTTTTAAACCCTCCCTGGCCTGGTCATTCCTTTTCTAGGGCAAGGGTGGGGGAGGGGCAGCTGTGGCGATGCTTTGACCACAGGCCCAAATTATTTCCCTTAGCTAAAGGATCAGGAGGATAAAAGAGGCTAAAGTAATCAAAATCAAGCATTTATCAAAATTTGGTTTTGGGAGGAGGGGGCCAAGATTTTCTTTAAAGAAATAATCTGCTCTCAAATGCTCAAGGAGTTGTTGTACATTGTAGTAAAAGTGCTTCTCTGGATGATGAAAACCGACACTTTGTCCATGGCTGCATTTCCAGAAGAAATATCGCTTCCTCTTTTAGTCAAATGTTCAGGCAGTAGCCTCAGCATCCTGGTGTTACCTCATTCACTGGCTATTTCTCTTCTACCTAAAGAGCTCCAGAGCACCCTGGGGAGTTAGAAATGGCCAGTTCTACCAACCAACATGAACATCAACTATTCTACCTTCCCAACCTCTTTGACAATTTTTTAAAATTACTGCTAAGGAAAAAAAATGTGAAGAGGGTTATTGATACCAGCAAAATCCAGGAAATACTCTACCTGTAGGTGATCTATAGGCACATTTAGTCCAGTTTCATAAAAGACTGCAAGGAAGTAGGATGCTTTATGGTATCCACAGCAGCTGGAATCCATCAGGGAGGGAATAATGGAGCTAATTTGATGTAGACCGTCAATGCCGGAGAGTCTCTTTACAGCCTTCTCAAATATCCTCCCACCAACTTCTAGCACTGAATCATTTTGGCTTCCTGGCACTGGAAATAATATAATTCAGGGCACACAAAATTAATTACCATGAGATGGCCAGGATTCTGGAAAGAAGGGGGAGAAAGCCAATTAAATTACCTGAGTTATTGTTATGACTGATCCTACAGTGAGTCAAGGTAAACCACCCTCAGGGGAGGTAAATTAAACTCTTCTGGGATGCTACAACGTCATTTTGCAAATGACTTCTTCCTAGGCTCTAAATGACTGCCTAGTGCCCTGGGAAAACTGATTCGCCATATATAGCTGAAAAGATCCCCCCAGAGAGCAATTTATTCAGTGTGACTCACTACCAAATCAGGACCATTGAAACTCTTAGAGAGGTTTCTTCTCTTAGATTTTCTTAAGAAAGGTGTATTTTTCTCCTAATATTTCCTTTTTTTTCCTGAAAAAAGTTGTGCAAGTCTCCCAATTCTCTTGCCCCCCCCCCACTTTTGAACGAGATGCTCTCTTGTCACCCTTTGCCTCCAATGCCTTCCCAGGGGTTGCCATATGTAAGACATAAGTACCTCGTTTTCTTTAAAAACACTGCTGTGAGCTAGGAACTGATTATTCAGATTCCTTCAGCTATATATCATCTTACAAAACCTTCTTGTGAACCTATAAATTTATTAGCACTTAGCAAAACTTGAGGGTTTTATGGTACAGCCATTCCAGTTATCACCATCTCCTAATTTTCTAGTCTGTTCTTGATTATTCATTCTTTCATGTATTTATTGAGAGCCTACTGTGTGCAAGGCAGGCCTTGTGCTGGGTGGTGTATTAGAAAAGACTCCTGCTGAGCGTTAGGTCACACGGATGATTCACTTTTAAAGAGCTATTTTCAACTAGTTTAAGCTCTTTCTTATCTGATTGAAAACTGTGATATTCAACAGGAATTTTCCTATGGAGTTAAAAAGCTTTTTCATGATTTTATTTTAGATTTTCCACTCAACTACTGAGGAATCAACACACAAAATAACAAGAGCCATTTGGGAAGACAAGCACAAAGGATGTGGTTAAAACCAGAGGTTGGCTATGGTATTGAAGCTACCCCTTTCCTCACAGCGCCAGGGCAGTTCAAGTATTGAGCTATGGGGAGCGGGAGTGTTTGACTCTCTCCATCTAGCTACTCAAAGTGGGGAGGAAAATGTGATAGTCCTGGCTTCTAATTATAGGCCCTATTCCCTTATAAGCTCTCAGCCACTACCATGAATCAAGAGTCTTCAGGCAATGAGAGAGTGACTACAAACCACAAGATATTTTGGGACATGGATCTGGATTTTGACCTCGCACAGTTAAATTCATGGGTTATCATGAATTGCCAGGGAGCAGTGTATGGTGGATATGACTAGGCAACAACACATAACAAATGAGGAAAAATGGAGAACAACAGGAGTATAGAATGTTTTTAAGAAAGTCTACAATAGAAAAGATATACTAGTCATGTAGAGAGGACAAGGGATGGCAGGTAGAAAGCCCAGTACCCCATTGGTATTCTCATCACATCAGGAGAAAGCGAGGAAGACCCCCAAACACACTGGGTAGACTGCTTGTGTTGAAGTTATGGGAAGACATGGACAAAAATCACCCTGGAAGGGCTGGTGTGGAAGGGCTGCGATCTGCATCATTGCAGGGACTTCTACCTCAGTGAGGTCACAGACCCACTGGAATACACTGCAATTAAGAATCTTATTTTATTCAAACAAATCTAATCTTCTCTCTATTCAATAGAAATTGCACCACTCAAGTGAAGTTTTAAAAATAAATCCTATTCAAACTTATTCATAGATTTACATTGAAATATGTATTCCTCTCCGGTGCCTCCCTGTGTGAATGTGTGTATTCATAGCAAAGCACTGTTAAACATTAAATGTTATTTGTCCATACCTCACTGGTTGGGCCAAAAACTTGGATAAGATGATTAGGTTGTCCTAAACACCCAGATTGGGTGCCTGGTGAGCCCGAGGAAGAGAAGGCCCAGGGGGACTGAAGGACTGTCATGTGAATTATATGTGTTCTTCTGACTCCAGAGGGAAGAACCAGGAGCGGGGGTGGAAGGTGCAGACACCAATTTAGGTTAAAGCACTGGGTGCTTTGAGAGGTGGTGAGTCCACAAGTAGGGGCTGAACAACCACTCAGTGAGTATTTTATAGTGAGGATGCCTTCATAAATGGGTTGGAGTAAAGTCTCTTACAATTCTCAAATTCTATGATTCTGTGAAGGTGAAATAAACTTCATAAAAACGTGTGACTCCTACGGCCCCTGGCTTGTAACTCCAGAAATTATTAGCATTAGTGCTCTGGTGGTTAGGAAGTGATAGATAACAAGGGCCGGGAGGGGAATTACTCATAAGACTCGAGCTTCTAGGGGTAGAAATCTCATAGACTTGGAAGTCATCTGTTTTTAAAAGATTTTTTTTATTTCTTTTAAATAATTAAAATTCTGAACTTAAATGAATGCATGAATCAGTCTTTGCTGTGAAAGAACTAAGCATTCAGCAGTGAGAGGGAAGGCAATTTAAAAATTTTAATTCCAAGACAAAACTGCTAGTTTCACACATTCTTTGAAGTCTGAATTTCCAATCATGGCACAAAACCAACACCATGATTGCTTTGGTGTCATCATGAAACCGACAATTTTAAAATCAATTTAATGAAACTGTTAATTTCGTCCATCTGGTTTAACATATGCACTTTCTCTAGCTGGGCTGTAACTAAAAAACATGCCTCATTTATGGAGATTAATGGGGTAGGGAAGGAACCAAAAAAGATCCATGTTCTTTCTCCTACAGTACCAGAAGCCAAGAAAACAAAATCCCCCGTCATCATGTCTTAACCCTTGACAGTCGCAGAGTAGAGCTCCCTCTCACAATAATCACCCCAGGGAGATCATGGATATGTTCTCCATTTGAAGAGGGGAAAGCTGAGCAAGAAAGGACTTAGCTCCTTGCCTCAGGTTCACAGAACTGCAAAGACCGAACCAGAGTTAGAAATCAGGAACAGGAAACCAAACTCATTGTGTGTCAGAGGAGAGGAAATATAAAGAGGAAAGTTGTTTTTAGATCAAGCTTCCAAAAGGCATTGCAAGTAATGTAGATGGTTTTGTTCTTTTATTTTTAAGGAAGTGAAAGTGTGAATGCCATTTAACCATCAAAGGAACAGATTGTTACATATGTGTCAAATATTAGAAAAATCAAAGTAGTTGAAAAGGATTTGTCATCTGCACTCTAATGCAGGTAATGGCCACTGGGCTATGAAGACCCAGCAAATGGTTTTGCTATCACTCTATGAATCAACCAAGAGTTGGCAGTTTCCAAGACTGTTGTGGATTGTACATATTCTCCCAGAGGAAGCATCCAAACAATTGAAAAGTCTTCAAGGAATGAATGCCCTTACGGAGAAGGTGGCCCCGGTGCTGAAGGCTAACCTCTCTCTGCCTCTATCTCAGCCCAGAAAAGGATCTACCTGAAGACCATTCCAAAAACAATAAATAATTGTTGTTGTTGTTGTTGTTCCTTCATTTTCAAAGAAGACCAATGACATCATGGGGTGATATCTTGACTTGCTCTCGAATGAAATCTAAGTGAGGTAAAATTGCACAAAGCGGTCGGCCTCACTGTCTCTTCTAGAGTCATTGAAGTCCAGTGGCAAGACAGAAGTCAAGATGACCGGCAATGGCCTGGGATACAGTGAATGATCGTGGCATCTTTAATGTCTGACAATGCTCTACGCGCCTTATAGTGCCTGCTTCTGCTGCCTTCCTGGCTATTGGAACAAATTGTTCTCATCTACTCATTCCACCAGGGGAAGTCTTCACATGCTTGGGGTAGACATGCCCCCTAACTCACTGACAGGTCTATGGCCCATTGGTTCCCCTCAACTTGGTCTGGTCCGTCTGCTGAGACAGTTTACCAGGGTGTGGCCTCTGTGCATGCTACAGCTTCTTGGAGCCATAGGTCAAGATTGAGTGCCAGGTGGACACGAAAAATGGATGAGCAGCCCTGAAAGGGATTTGACAAGCTCACACACCAGAGGTACTAGTCCTCCTTGAACACCCATACACCCCAGAAACAATAAATAGCTATGGGCCAAAAGCCCCTTACAACCCGTAGAAAGCATAATAAAGGACCAGAGAGAAAGCATCCTCTGCCTCAGGATCAGAGGCCACACTGTTCTTGGCTTGGGCTATTGAGTGCCATCTGAGCTGCCTTCACTGACCTCCCACATGCTGGACTCTACCACCCTGGACCCTGGACATTTGTTTGCACTAGCCTGGACCCTTTGTCTGACTAAACCTCTGCTATGTGCTAGACTTCTCTGGCTCAGCTGGACCCCTTGCCCTGATCCAATCTGGCCAGCCCTATGCCTCATTTCCTGGAATGACAGGCACATGCAAAGTTTTATGGTGCTCCTACACTGCACTCCTAAATTTTAAATCCATGCAAAGGCCACATGCCAAGAGAGAAAAGGAAAGGAATTGAAGAGATCTATGCGACTTTTGCTGTAATTATGGAACCCACATTTGTGAGCGTTTAAATTGAAACCCTATTAGAGAGAGTTCAATTTGGACAAAATCTAAATGCTGGTGAGGCAGCTTTGAAGGGAATAATTTTGCTGGGGCTGCCGGGCCTTACAAGGAACTGGAATTCCAGGTTGAAAATCATAATGGCCTGACCTTGAAGTGAGGGCTTTTCCTGAGGGGCAGGAAGCTCTCTGTATTATGGTACAATTAGGAAATTGTCAAAGAATTCGAGGCAGCTAGATGGCATAGTGGATAGATCACTGGGCCTAAAGACAGGAAGATCTGAGTTCAAATCCAGTCTGAGACACTTACTAGCTGTGTGACCCGGGACAAGTCACTGAACCTCTTCATCCACTGGAGAAAGAAATGGCAAACCACTCCAGTATCCTTGCCAAGAAAACCCCATGGTTCATAGGGTCACAAAGAGTTAGATATGACTGAACAACAACAGAAAATTTGAAGCCTACTTATTTGCCAAATTCCTTGGCTCTTCTTATCTATCCATTTCAAGGTCATGGTTGACTTATTTAAAATTAAGCCAAATGATATTCCCTCCACAATCTTAGATACTGCTGAGGGAGATACAATGGTATATGGAACTTTGGAAAGAAGAGACTCCCTCTACCAATGTCGGCTGGGACCTTCTCTACAATTTGTAAATTTAGAGAGTTGCCCGGGGCATTGAGAGGTTAAATGACTTACCCAGGGTACCAAGTCAGTATTTGTTATGTGCCAGAGGCAGGACTAGAACCCAGGATTCTAACCACAATGCCATGCTACTAAGACTATATAGGTAGATATACACACATGTATACCTATACAAAAACCTCTGCTTTTTGATAATAGAGCCTATGATTTTGTGACTATGTACATGTGTATGTAAATATAAACATAAGCCTTCCCTAACCCCTCCTTAATTCCAGTACCTTCTCTCTTTTAATGATTTCCTATTTATCCTGTATATAGCTTGCTTTGTATATATCTGTTTGCATGTTGTCTCCCCCATTAGACTGTAAGCTCCTTGAGGACAGGATCTGTCTTTTGCCTCTTTTTGTATCCCCAGTGCTTAGCACAATGCCTTAAACATAGTAGGTGCTTACTATATGCTGACTGAATTAAACACATACATATATGTACACACATATAGGTATGTATATACTTAGATACACATATCTATATCTATATACACATACATATACATATACTCACATACATTCATACATACATAGTCATAAAATCCCAGGTGCTCACTAAAAGCAAGGCTATGCCCAACAAGGTTCTCTTAGTTTTTTTTGGTGAGGCAATTGGGGTTAAGTGACTTGCCCAGGGTCACACACCTAGTATTTGAGGCCAGATTTGAACTCAGATCATCCTGACTCCAGGGCTGGTGCTCTATCCACTGCATCACCTACCTCTCTTAGTTTTAAAGACTTCAGAGAATCCCAGAATCTCTTAGTTGGAAGGGTCCTCAGAGATCATCTAGCCCAGCCCAAGGCTGAGAAAGAATCTGCCCCACAACATAGCTAACAAGTGGCCGCCAAGCTTTTACTGGAACACTCCCAGTCATGGGAAAGCCATGATGTGACAGCCACCAGCCCATTCTACTCTGAAGTAGCTATCGTGAAAAGAATACTTACCCAAATCTGTTTGTCTCTTTGTAACTTCTACCCCTATTTCTTCCCAGCTCTGCCCTTGGAAATGACTTCACAAATTCCTGTGGCGATTCATTCAGTCATTCCAACTTTCTGTCAAGGGAGGTTTTCTTGATGTCTAGCCCAAATCCCTCATGTCACAATTTAAGCCTTTGTTTTATCCCTCTATGTATAAGTCCAATTAGAAGGCTGGAGGCTGGAACATTTAATTCCTCCTAAAGTTTTCCTTTACAAAGTGCAGGATTTGGACTTTCCAGTTCACGTTCCACTTTCCAGCTGCAGCTTTGCTAGGTTTGAATGTAACAGAACAAGATGCCCCTGAGTGGGGTCCCCTCTGGTGTCCTTCCTTCCCACCCCTACCTTTCTAGCTTCCCTTTGTGCATTGTCCTTTTCCATTAGATTATAAGCACCTTGAGGGCAGGGAGTGTCACTTTTTTTCTTATTTGTATCTCTAGTGTTTAACACAGTGCCTGGCACATAGTAGGCTCTTAACAAATGTTTATTGAATTGATAAAGTAGGAATTCCTTGGATTAGAGTCTTTTAAAAACCTGTTATTCCTCCTTCTTCCTTCAATGACTAAAACAAGTGACTCCAAACATTACACATCTGACAGAATTTTCACATGCTTTCATCATACCCGATGGCGGTAATTGGATAGAAGCTGCATATATCTTCTATGTCCCTATTTATTCACCATTTGTCTTCCTCATTAGGATGTGAGCTACTTAGAGAAGGGATTGTTTTTACCTTTCTCCGTATCCCCGGTGTTCAGCATGATGCTTGGCAGCGAGTAAATAATAAATACCTGTTGACTGACTTTAGAAAACCCCTATGTAAACTGAAAGGTGTTAATGCAAACTACTGACATGAAGCAGATGGATTCCAAACAAGGAAAGGATTACAAAAACAACCCAAACACCCTCTCTTATCAGCTACGGTCAGCCAATGATCTATTTTACCTAGTGAGATTCAGAAGCTATGCTAGGTATTTAGGACAGATTGAGGTCAGAAGGGAGGGAGGGAGCAGGCATACCGTCACACCAATTTGATTTCTGTTCTTTCCACAGGAAACCGGGGCAAAAATACTTTAAAACCTAAACTTATTTATTAGAAACTATAAAATAAGATTTACATGCCATTTATTCCTTCTGGTTACATAACTAAGCATATCTCAGGCATGCCAACCTTTCTCACTGTGCTAATATGAGGACTTCCTAGCTTTAGCCAATGAAATGCCCCCAGGTAAAGTACAACTTGGCTCTGAAGAAGGTTTCCTCTTTTTTGGAAGGGAGAGTTAGCTGGGACAGGGAAGGGCTGCTGGCGGGATAGCCCCCCAACTGGTGCTTTTCATTCAGCGGGCTCTTCTGCCCCAGGGGAATGACTAAGAAGGAATATGGGTCTGTGTGTGTCTGTGGGAGGCAAGGCTTGGTGCAGAAAGGGGAGATCTAGCATTTACAGCAGCTAGTGGGCTGCTCCTTAGCGAGGATTTAAGCGGAGCTGATGCCAGAAGAGGCCTGAGGGGTAAGTGAAATGACAAGTCCCAGTTTCTCCACACCCTCTCACTCTGAAGGAGGCAAGCCTGGGATGTTAAAGGGCTCCAATGGAACACACCCAATGCATGGGGATCTGTGAGTTGGGGAGCGGACGTTATCTATTTTTGATGTTCATATATAAATTTCTTTAAGGAGCCAAAAATTCCAGGTTACACTCATCTTTCGTTGTTAGATCCCAGGCACTTACAAAATAATGATGTCAGAGCTCCTGACACTTGGGCAAAATTTTAAATTTAGATTAAAAGAAGTCTTACTGAAGTGGAACATGAAACATGAAAGGATGCCAATTAGTATCACTTGCTTGGTTTTTTTTGAAAAAAGATTTTAAGTTTTTTGAAATATTGGAAACTAATACTGATTTCTTTTTGAATCTTTTGTAAGTGACACAATCTTATGTAAATATGGTCAGAAGCTTAATTATAAAACATTAAAGCTGGAAGGAACCTTAGTCCATCTAGTCCAATGTCCCACCCAGTGCAGGACTGATTGTCTTCTTTAAGATTCCCAACAGATGGGTACCCATCTGTCCTAGTGAAAGCCCCATCTTCCAGAGATGGGTAGCCCACTGTATCATAAAACATCCCGTTATACTTTTGGTTGTTAGGAAATCCTTTCTTACGTCTGAAACATGTCTCCCATTAGCATCTACCTAGTTTTGGCCTCGGGAACAACACAGAACAATGTTCCTACTCCTACTCCTACTCCTACCTCGGGACAATCCCAAAATTTCAAAGGACTGTATATTTAGAGGTAGAAGGGACCTCAGAAATCAGCTAGTCCAAGCCTCTTCCTTTTGCAGACTAGTATACCCATGTCAGAGAAATTAAGTGGCTTGCCTAAGGTGATGGGGGTTGTAAAATGACCGAGCTGGGCCTCTTGACTCCAAACCCAACATTCTTTTCTACTGTACTATGCTGCTTCTCGATCTGACAATAACTATCATGCTTTTTCCCGTCTGTTTTTCTACAGGCTAATCTTTGCCTATTCTTTCAACCTTCTAGATATTCTATGACTAGCAAACCTCTTACCTTCCTAGTTATAACTATCTACTTAATATATAAAATCAAGTCATTGGACACCTAAGGAGGTGATGACAGCCTGTGGAAAGTACCCTTAGAGATTTCTGGGCTGGAGATGACTTAAATTACAATTTAAATTAAGGACTGTCTAGGTGATTTCTAAATTTAGGGCCCAGTTTTAAGCCGTGGATTTTTTTATATATATAGTATCCCTCCCAGATCTACTGAGAGCTACGTGGCCAGAAGTTAACTCTGCAAATACCCTAGAATACTCTAGTTAAAGGAAACACTTAGAAACATAAGCCAGCAAAGAGAACATGCTGAAATATCCCCAAAACAGGAGCTTTCCAAACCAGCTTCCACAAAGCCAAGACAAAGATTCAATTACCAGACGATAAATCCTTTTCCTGCAAAACCTGGAACAAATTTAAGTATCTGTCCTTCAGCTCTTTTCCCCAAGGAAAGGAACGGCATGTTGACAATCTTCCATACCTAGCATTAAGGTCTAAATAGTAGTTCTTGCGGTTACCTAGAGAAAATGAGAAACATAAGAAGTTATAATAATAGCCTACTTCAAAACAGTATTTGTGGGGAAACTGTTTGTGGTGACATACATTATCTCACTGATCCCTGCAACAACCTTGTGACAGAGTGGAGTAGGAATAAACTATTATCCCCAATCTATACCAGAGGAAGCTGGAGCTCAGAGAGGCTGAGCAATTTGCCCAAGGTCACGGAGCAAATAAACGGTAAGAGCCAGAACGTGAGGAAGGGCTTCTGATTCCACGGCAAGTGCTCTTTTCATCACGCTGATCTGCCTTCCTGTTTCATACAGGTGTGTTGAGAAAGGAAATTACTCCCTTCTCTAAGACCCAAGGCAAACTTGAAATGAAACCTGGGAGCTGGAAGGAAGAGGTGGGAAGGGATCTGAGCTCATGTAAACTGCTGATGTCCGACTATTTGAGGAGAAAGCAATTGGAAGGGGTGCCCTTTGTCACTGGGTCACATCTTGGTCGTCCAGTGGATCTGGGAAAGTGATCCAGAGCTGCCGATGACTGCCAAATGGTTTTTGCAAAATGAACAGCTGGTCCCCTCTAGGACCAATGAGGTAAATATCTGTTCTACTCTCATTGGCAGCGTTGTCTGAGGAGCAAAACAAGGGGAGCTTGAGGAAGGCAAAATCCTCAGAGGGTAGTAGTCACAGAGATCTCATGTTGTCACTACTCCCTGAGAAGTCTCTGCATAGAGAAGGTTAGATGACAAAGTGAGGTGCTGACTGACAGAATACCTTCCCTAAAATTATATTTTTAAAAGCCCCACACATTTCTTTCTGCTTTAGGATATCTCAGCTCCCCTATATTCACTGTCTCTTCTTTTGACAGTATCATATTTTTGGCTTATTTTGTTGTGAGAGCAGCAGTTTGGGATCCGTATAGCCTATTCCTGAATTGAATTTCCAAAAGTACTGCCTTTTCACACTCGTATAACCCATCTCTGATCTCCAACTTGGAACATTTGATGCGAAACTCATTTGACTGGCATGTGTGCAAAATTTGCCCCTCAATCTAATGGCAATTGAGGAGTTCAGCTACAGGGTATATAGGGAGCTGTGTGGGCAGGAATGAATATGTAATTTGCTGCAGCTAACAGCAAATATCCCCTAGGAATTTCCTGTTCTAGAAGAAATGCATGTGACTAATTCTAGCATCACTGCATCAGACAAGGAGTCCTATGGCACTGGAAGTAGTTAGTGAGCTCTCAACCTCCAGTTAGAACACCAAAGGGCCGATTGATTATCCAATTCAATTCAATCCAATCCAATTCGATCCAATCTAATCTAATCCGATCCAATCCCCAAAGCATTTATTAAATTCTCACAAAACAGAAGGCAAAAATATAAGACACTGGAAATACAAATACAAAACAAAAAAAACAGTATATACCAGTCCTCAAAGAGCAAACATTCTGCTACAGATGTGGGAGATGGTAATAATGCAAATACAATATTCAGAAAAGTGGATACATGATAATATAGGGAGGAGAGAGAGGATGCTAGCAATTCAAGGAATTCAGGGATGGCTTCTTGAGCTAAGCCTTGAAGGAAGCAAGAGCTTCTTGTAGAGGTGCAAACGGAGTACGTTCTAGGCATGAGGCACAGCCTGTGCAAAGGCAAAAAGGCAGGAAATGGAGAGTTGAATTGGAGAATAGCAAGCAGGCCAATTTATTTGGAACAGAGAAGGAAACGGTGTGCAGTGAGCCTGGGAAAACTGACTGGAGCTAGGGCTTTAACTGCCAAACTGAAAAGTTTGTATTTTATCCTTGAGGCCATCAAAAGCCTTTGGAGGGGCAGCTAGGTGGCGCGGTGGATAGAGCACTGGCCCTGGAATCAGGAGGACCTGCGTTCAAATCCAGCCTCAGACACATGACACTCACTAGCTGTGTGGCTCTGGGCAAATCACTTAACCCCAATTGCCCTCACCGAAAAAAAAAAGCCTTTGGAGTTTCTTTAGCTGAGGTGACATGGTCAGATTGTACTTTAAGAAGATTATTTTGGGAACTGTGTGGAGAATTGATTACAGAAGTCGAAGGACTGGAAGCTAGGAGTCCAATCAGGAGACTGTTGTAATAGTTTAAGCAAGAGATGATGAGGGATTGGTGACCACATGAGGGGAGAGAAGATGGGTGTGGGAGATGTGGAAGTAAAATGGAGAAGATTTAACAACTGATTGGATATGGTTGTTTGAGGGAGGGGAAAGATCTGAGGATGCTCTAAGGGTGCAAACCTGGTTGAGTAATAGAATGATGCTCTCAAAAAGAAATAGAGAAGTTTGGAGGAGGGGAGGATGATGACTATGGCCTAGTAATATAATGAAATAAATTTCTTGCTGAATAGTTGTCAAGAGATCTGTATAATTTAATTGTAATTTGTTCTTTCTATTAAAAATTGCAAACTTCTTTGAGTCGAATTCAATTTCAAGGATTTAAAAAAACAAAAACAAAAACTCATCATATAGTATTTGTAAAGTTTGTAAATTTGTAAAAATTTGTAAACCATTCTTAATGGTCTTAGGTCAAAATTCACCAAAGAAGGAAAAACATTTAGTAATTATTTTTTTTTCTCCAATGAATCATTATTTTCTAAACTGCTAACTCTTCTGGTTGGGAATAAAGCAATATAGTAGTTTAAATCTCTTTCTCTAGCTATATTAAAACCACAGGACAGTTTTATGCTCCTCTTTTCCTTTACTTTTTTTTTTTAACAATTCTTTGCTAAGGTTTTACTAAGTACCCAACTCCAGATTTTAGAAATCGATTTTTTTTAAACTTATATCAGGTCATTGTTGCACTTCTCAATTGTGTTCCAGTTTGAGCTCACTTTGAAGTTCAATATTGAAGAAAGCAAAAGAGCATGGTGTTTACAAGTAGTGCCCCAGTACTGAATACTTACACATTCTTGGATTGTCATTATCTTGCCATATGATGTTGGCATATAAAGACACAATTTCTTTAATCTCGGCACATCTTTCATAGTATAACTCAATCTGATCAGCAAGTTGTTTTTTGAAGAGAGGATTGAAGATCTAGAGAAAAGCAAGTGAAAAGACTGAGTGCCAATGTCTTCAGGCCCAGGAGATCCCCAAGAGCCCATCAGACTCTCTTGAGCACCTCTTCTGAACATGCACCTTCTGCTTGAGTTTTTTCAGAATAAGTCACTTTGCAAAATTGAAGTCATTACTTTTTCCCTTCTCCTCTCTCAGCCTAAGCTCTCTCCCATCTGTGGGGTCCTTATTTGTCTCCCATTTGGGACTTGAATTTTAGGGTGCCAGTCACCCTCCTGCAGAATTAACTGTAAAAGAAGTACTGAGAAAAGGAGACTTTCCTATCAAGGGACTGCTAATACAGACAGAAAGCTTCTGGTCTTCCTTCCTGGAATGAGAGAAAGAATGTCACAGTGAGGGAAGGCAACAGCAGCTAGGGCTACCCCATGGGAAACGTGAGGTCTGCATAGTAATAATAACTAACACATAGTGTGATCCTTTAAATTTGGCAGAGGTCTTGATGCACATTACCTCATCTGATACTTACAGCAGCTGTAGGTGGTACAATGGGTAGAGTATGGGACTTAGAGTCAGGAAGACCTGAAGTCAAACGTAGTCTCAGACATTTGCTAGCTAGCTGTGTGATGCTGGGCAAGTCACTCAGCCTCCTTTGGCCTCACTTTCTTCATATATAAAATGAAGGATAGTAATAATAGCTCCTCTCTCACGGAGCTGTTGTGAGGATTAAATGAGATAATATGTAAAGCTCTTTGCAAACTTTAAAGTGTGCCACAAATGTTAGCTATAACGTAAATTAGTCATAAATTAGTAAACACCAGAGTTAGGACTTCCAGACTCCAAGTCCAGTACTCAATCTGCTATCCCATATATATTCGTCCCATCCTACCTGGCTGTAGGCAGGAGTTAGAGTCATCAAAACCACAATCCAGATAGTTGGGCCACTTCAAGCAGCATTTCCTTATGGGGGATTTTGCTCCACATGAGCATAATGTTACACAGGCCATGTTATACATGGAAGCTAGTTCCTACAGTACCAAGATTTAAAAACTCATCAGTGGTTCAGATGACTTCTAGATAAGGGACTGTATGTTACTCCCCAAACCATCCACTGTGCCTGTCTATACAGAAATTCTCCAAATTACATATACCTAACTTACTGACTTATCTTTCAGAAAGCCTTGAATGCCAAGGTAAAAAATCTGGGCTTTATTTGGTCAGCAAGATACTTGACATATCTCTTACACAAATAATCACCTGAGTGGACACAGGAAGACCTATTTCTTTCTGGCAGCTGTAATTTGGGATTTCCTATCCTTCCCTTTCCACCATCCTCACTGCTTTAGACCCCATATTGCTGGATTCCTCCCTGTCCCCTCAAGCCCTAGCTCTAGTCTCTGATTTTCATCTAACTGAGTTGCCACTCCATTCACACCACAAGCATTTAGTCTAGCTCAGGACGCATGAGGAGAAGGTAAGAAGCAGTGGTCCTCTGAAATGTAAATAGGTATTACTTTGGTTCTATGTGTACTCAAAGAATGACCATTAATTATCATCTGAGTGCACCTTTGTCTTTATAGGACTGTAGTGAAAAAAGGAAAAAGAGGAGAGGGGAGGATATGAAAAAGCCTTTTTTTTTTAACCTGTTACCTTTTTTCCCCTGTCCTTTCTAGCACTTCAATTTAATTCATCAAACATTTACTAAACTCCTTCTACATGCAAAAAGTTACACATGATCACACACAGAAATCCTTGTCCTAGGTACTGGGAAAAATACGAAGTAGGAAAACAGACACACATACAGAAAATATAAAATAAAAACATGATAAACGCAAAAATTCTATATGAGATCCAAGGAAGGAAAGATGATGTCTGACTGGGAAAATCAAGGAAGTTCTTGTGAAAGGGAATTTGAGTTATAATAGTAAAATTTCAGCAGGTATAGATTGGGAGAGAGAAGGGCATATAGACGTAGGTGGGGAATGCATAGATGTGTACAGAGAATGATGAGTAACCTGGTTTGACTGAAGTATAGATCAGTGGTTGAGAATACTGTGAGCACAGTGCTTGGCAAATAAAAAGCTCTTAATAAATGCTTATTGACTGATTGATTTGTAAAGCTGGAAAGGAAGGTTGGTGCCATATTGTGGAGAGCCACAAGGTAGAGTCTGGGTTTTATTTGGTAAGGCAAAAGAGAGGCGCTGACTGGTTTTGGTCAGAAGAGTAACTAGACATATGCACAAGAAAGACTAATCTGGTAGTTATATGAAATGGATTGAAGGGAAGAAGAGAATGGAAGCAGGGAGATTAATAGGAATCTATCAAAATATTCCAAGTGGGTGGTAATAAGGGCATATAGTAGGCTGGTGGCAGAAATGAGGAGATAGATTCAAGGGAAGTTACATATGTAGAATCAATAATATTTCACATTTGATTAGATGTACCAAGTGAGAAAAGGGCAAAAGTTAACATGGGGACTTAGAGTAAAGATAACTAGGTGAGTGGCTGTGCCACTGATAGAAACAGGAAAAACCCTTAGGAAAACCTAAAAAGGGACAATTGCTCTGGCATATGGGAAAAACTATGAGTTTTTATTCTGTTCTACAGTGGATCATGGATGACTAGAAATTGTTAACAGAAGCAATAGGTAATGATAGTGAAAAGGAAGATATGATCAATCCCTGGGGTCCATGGAAAAGGAAGTGAGTGGAGAAAAAATGGACTGGACAATATACCATATGTTAGGTAGCGAAATTCATTATACACTTTGATCCAGTCATTTCATTGCCAGGACTTTATCCAAAAGATTTCATGAAAAGGATAAAAAGATCCTCCTGTACAAAAATATTATCTGCTTTGTTTGTAATAGAAAAAAAAAGAAAACCTAGAAACAACCTCTATATTTGGATTGAAAAATAGCTAAATAAATGATGGCATATTAATGCAACAGAATATTATAGCATCATAAAAGAAGATAAATATGAAACCTGTGAGGGAGTATGGAAAGGCTCATAAGGAGAAATGCAACGTGAGAGCAATAGAACCAAAACAGCATATATAGACAATAACTACCTAAAAATGAGAAAAAGAAACCAAAAGTAATAGAAGTATGGATGAATTGTGAAGGGGACATAAATTAAATATATTTAGTTTGTTTAATTTGTTTGGCTCTTTTTTGTTAAAATGTACAGTATAATTTTTATGGTTTTACTATGATTCTGGTTCTAACTCTTTACATTTATTTGATTATTTATTTTTGTTGATGGTCCAAACTGGATACTTCACTGGTATGAAATCATTCCAGCATGGTTTCCCTTGGATGCAGATCAGCAATGTGTCTGTACCTTTCTAGTTTTATGTTGTTGCCTAGGGCACCCAAAGGTTAAATGACTTGCCTGTGGTCCTAGAACTTGAACCTAAGTCTTCCTGACTCCAAGTCACTTTCCATCATGCCATTTTTTCCAGCATGCCAGCATGTTTCTCTTTACTAGATTTATAATTTTTTTTAATATTAAGAAAAAGGAAATAGATGGTGGACAAAATGAGAAGTGTCCCTAGGGAAAACAAAAAAAGGTCTGACCCAAGATTTTCCCAGTATCTCACCTTCCAACCTCCTCACCCATCCCTCTCAATATCTAATCAGCTAGAGATCCTACTCCTGAGCATAAAGAAGAACTTAGAGCTTGTTCTCACTGCCTGGATAGTGACAGAGTGAGTGGAGAAGAATTCCACATGACCCTACTTCCAAATTATAATAGGAGATGAGGTGTTCCAGGCATCTGGAATTGTAACTCTGAACATAATTTCCCATAGAAATATTGTTACATATGGCAGCCACTATTAATACTGTATAATATTTCAGCCATATTATGAGTTAGGATTTTCTGAGTTGGTTTGGGAACCTAATCATTATATATATGTGTGTGTGTATATATATGAATATAAGTGTGTATGTAAAGCTATCTATCTATATATGAATATAAGTGTGTATGTATAGCTATCTATCTATATATGTATGTTTGTATGTCTATTTATAAACACACACTCCTATAGATACACATACAAACATTTTCTCTATGGAAATATATGTTTCAAAATCTAAATAACTGCCTTACAAATGAACTTTTAAAACAAGTGCTGCCTGCGTTTTTTTTTAAAAAGGAACTTACTAAACAAAGAATTTTCCTTGCTAAAAGGATGATACCTTAAATGATACCTCACAAAGACTCAACAACTTAGATTCCTTTCATTAGTTTAATCAGTGGATATGCAACATCCTGATACAAGTCTGCTCTATCATTAAGCTAGTAGTTATTAAAACACAGAAAGCAAATTATTTCCATTTTATGAGTATTAAATGAACCAAATCTTGATAGAAATCCATTATCACACTTGCTGAAACCCTCAAAATCAATCATGCTTGATTACAGAATTATTACTCAATTTGTCTTCAGTAAATCTCTTATTTACATTGCATTGCATGTTCCTGTGTTACATTACTCTTGAAAGACCATTAATTTGTCATTTAGCCTCTGTACCTACCTGTTCAGTCTCCATCACACTGAGACGATAGTATTTCATGGGGCCAAAGAACCCTTCAATCCCAGGAGCATACCTGCTCCCTCCAAGAATAAAGTAGCCATCAGTGTCATTATAATAGAAATCCTCTCGAAAACTAGAAAAAGAATATCTAGGTTATTAAACAGACTCTATGTTTTGATGGGCCTTACCACAAGAAATGTAAGTCACTTTGATGACTCCTTTAGAGTCCTTCCCACATGCCTCCAAGCCTCTCTCTCTCCAAGGGCAACGTGAACCAGCAGATGGAGCACTACTTAAGAAATCATTTGTTCTAAAAATCGTGATGGGTGACCCTAGGACCTTTCTCTGTTCTGTTTTCATTACCAGTAAAAGTGAAATTGCCTGATTTTACAGCATTAAGGTCAACAACAACAATAATATTAATAGCAACAACATCAACAACAATAAAACCTCCATATGGAATGGGCATAGGTAATGATGGATCATGGCTTTAGGTGAAGAGCTAGGACCAGGAAAGATGAAGCAAAAGCTGAAGGGTAGAGAAGGTATTAAAGGTCAGAGATAGCACTGGGTCCACTGTTTCTATCAACAGGCAAGGATTGAAAAATCAAGCAAAAAACAGTCAGAATCTGAGAAGGCAAGATGAAGTTCAAGGTATATGCAAACTGAATCAGTCAAGGCAGTTTAAAAACCAAGCAAATAGAAAGTTGGAGGAATCAGGAACCCTAGTTCAAATCCAGGCTCTGACAATAGCTATGTAACTATGAGAAAATCCTTTAACCTCTCAGATCCTCAGCTTCATCATCAGTACAAGAATTATACTATCTATCCTGTAGGGCTGTTGTGAGAAAAAAGCACTTTGCTTAAAGTGATAGACTAATACTGGATAATAGCTAGCATTTATATAATGCTTTGAGGTTGGCACAATGGTTTCATAATAATAATAATAATAATAATAGCTGACATCATATAGCACTCACTAAGTGCCAGGTACTATGCTGAGTGATTTATAACTGTTATTGCATTTGATCCTCACAGTGATCCTGAGAGGTAGGTGCTATTGTTATCCTTATTTTACAAATGAGGAAACTAAGGCAAACAGAAGTGAAGTGACTTACCCAGGGCCACACAGCTAATGTCAGAGGCCAGATTTGAACTGAGGACTTCTTTACTCCAGGTCCTGCTTTCTATTCACTGTGCTGACTAGCTGATATGCAATGATATTATTATCATTACACAAGCAAGCAGTCAGAAGCCAAGATCTCTGCAGGAACCAAGGACCACAGCAAAGTAAGCAGAATGGATTTATGGTGACAGAAATAATGTTGGATTCCTGTGGTGACCCCATGCTGCCTCAGCACAGAACCTTTCATATTCTTCCTATCACAGCTGGAACCCTAAGTGTGGCTAGTATGGGACTTTATGAGAGGAGGTGAGTGAGACCCTCTGGGCCGAGCTAGAAGGGAAAGGATGAAAACAAGGGCAGTGTCTGACACATTCAGCAATAAAGCCCGATGGAATGATGAGTGCAGACACCTGGAAATGGACTGGATACAAAAGCTAAAGGAAAGTGGAAACAAACCAGCCTTTTTTGGTTCTTGAGATATGCCTATATGTCTCCCTATCTTCTATCAGGACCACATATCAACACTCTCCAAATGAGGACAACGTGGTCCATTGTTAGAGACTTTCCCACTTCTCTCAGAGAACATTGGGCAACCTCTGTTAGTGACTTTTTCTGACAACCCACAAGGTCATCTTAACTGGCTACAGAAGAGTTGTGCAGACTTGTTTCCTATTTGTGTCCACGTCTTTCTCTTTTCTGGCCCTCTGCAGTTTTCCTCTACAAAACTCTCATTGGCTTCACAAAAGGAACCCTGTGTCCCCTGATAGCATCAAAGGACACATGACTGCATGAGAACTGGACTCCCCCAAAATGGCCTTGTCCTTGCAGGTGGAAACTGAATGGAACTAATGGCCATAAATCTGGCTGTCATGGAGTTGCAGTTCCATCAGGATGGCCATCCTCTTCACCAACACACCTCTCAACCCTTCTTCACACACTAGATGGTCTTTTGCAGCTGCTGTAGCTGAAAAAATTAACCCTTTGTGGCCAACATAAACCTTCACTGAATGCCTAAGCTACTCTCTTCAGATGAGTTAGGCACATTAGTATGCTCTCACCTGGCCATCAGGTTAATCAAATTGAACGATTTGAAAGAATTAATGAAAATTAAAAAGAAAGAGTCAAGGTTGGAGGTATACAAATACATGTAAATTTAAAGACTTGGTCAAGTTTTTAACCTGGATTAACCCTAAACTAATTTTCACTTACCCCCTAAATGGCTGTTGCTATATGAAGGTCTTAAATTACTGACTTCTACAGACTATCACCTACGATTGGTGGCTTTCTGAATCCCAGTTTTTATTTTGGTTCTTCATTCTCAAGCACCTTTCAAACATTCCCTGGTGAACTCGCACTATCTCACTTTTGTGGAAGAGCCAATATAAGTGTTTTTACTGATAGAAAACTGAATCCAAAGAGTATTAAGAGGCTTTTCTAAGGTCATACAAGAGCAAGGAAAGCTGCAATTTGTGATTGTCAGTTTCCTGACCAGACACTTTCTGGAAATGGAGTCCCTGGAAACACCTGAGATAGAGAGGATCCTGGGCACGCACAGATATGTAAGATTGATCTCTCTATATTTGTTGTGCATGAAGACAAAAGACCTTGCAGAAAAACATAACAAGTGACTATGAAGTTTAACCAGATACTTATTTTAAATAATATTGTATTTTCCCCCAATTACATGAAAAAACAATTTTTAACATTTTTTTTAAGTTTTGAATTCCAAATTCTATCTCTCCCTTCCTTCCCTCCTTCCTCCCTGAGACAGTGTGCAATCTGATATAGGTTATACATGTGCAATCATGAAGTTCAACCAGATATTAAAAATATCTGGGGAGGTAGCTGAGGAGGGGCAAGGAAGGGAGAAAGAGGAAGAGACCCCTCCCCCCCTTTTTTTGCTTTTTGGTGAGGCAATTAGGGTTAAGTGACTTGTCCAGGGTCACACAACTAGTAAGTGTCAAGTGTCTGAGGCTGGATTTGAACTCAGGGCCTCCTGACTCCAAGGCCAGTGCTCTATCCAAGGAAGAGACCTTTTAAACTAGCTTTTTAACACTTAAGTGGCACTGCCATGATTCAAATTCAGTTTGATTCCAAATTCAGTATTATGCCTCTCACTATAAGAAATCAATGCTGTCTGACTATGATCATAGAAGAAAAGTAAATGAGAAGGAGTAGTCAAAAAATCCTGAAGGGGATTTAGAGAAACTGAAAAAGTGTGTGATACTTTATGAATTGAAATTAATTAAAATGTAAATAATTATTCAGTAACTGTAATTGATGTTTAATATTATGCTTCTAATAAAACATTTAATTAACAAAAAGAAATCAGTGACCTAATGAGAATCAGGAAATGCAATAAAAACTTAAACACTTAATTTTCATAACATGTCACAGAATTAGAGCTGTAGAGATCTAAAGAGACTATCTGCTTCATTCCCTTCTTCCAAATGGTTACCTACTCTGTTCTTGAAATCGTCAGAGCAAATGTCAAAATCCCCCATATTAAAATTCAAAACTCTTAGGCTCATTGAGTTTTTCTTTGGGTCTAATCTAAATCTCACTTGCTGCAATTTCATTCTATTTCTTTTGGCTCTATTTTTGATCAAGACTAACTGGTTAATTAACATCCTTCATCTAGCTCAACATAGTTATTAAGTAGCTGCCTCAGTCTTCTCTTCCCATTCTAAATAATACCAGTTCTTTAGGCCTTCTATATAACTCTAATCCTTTAATCCAGCTATAAAAAAGCACTGTTCTATGTGCCCAGAACCTGAAAGAAATCAGTGTGGGCCTAATATGAATCAGGAAATGTGGTAATAAACAAATAAACTTAATATACACTGCCCATCTCCTTTCACTTCTTCTTTTTTTTTTTTTTTTTGCTTGGTTTTCAAGGGAATATGTGTTTGTCTTGCATTCTAAGTTGTTCAAACATCTGTTGCAGATTGCACTTCCTTGGACTCTCAAAGAAATGCACAGAAAAAAAGTGGCAGAGATGGTTAAGAAAAGAAAAAGTAGCACTGCTAGGTGTGAATGGGGTTGACAAAGGGCATGGATACCAATTGAATTTCAGCTGTCCTAATGAATTCTGAAAATCCTTTACAAGGATGCTTTCATGGTTTTCTTTTCTCTTCATTAGACCCTCTCCACATTCTCTACAAACTTCTTAAGTCTCAATGTAATCAGAATATTTAGTGCTTTCCTGATTCTGAATTATATCAGAAGGTTACCTCTACGATTTCAGCATTTTAGACTCTTGGCTATGAGTCCCAGGATTATACACAAAAACTGGAAGAAAGGAAATAATTATAAAATACAAGGCAAGAGGCCAAATTCTTTTTCTATAACTCTTTTGGGAAGAGATTACATAAGGATGACAAACTACACCAATATTTATAACTGCATAAATTTCTAATTCAGATTAGAAACATAAATATGAAGAACGTTTCCCATTTATACAGTGCCTAACATATCAACTGTTTTCAATAAACAATATTAGAAAGGTGATGTATTTTACACAATGTTGTTCAAAGAAAATGAATAATTTTAAAGTACTATAAAAGAGAAACCTAATTTACGTGGATATGTAGAAAAGGAATATGACTCTGTGACTTGAAAAAAGAGGAGAGAGTCTGTGGATAGAAAGAAGGAAAGAAAGAAAGAAAGAAAGAAGGAAAGAAAGAAAGAAAGAAAGAAAGAAAGAAAGAAAGAAAGAAAGAAAGAAAGAAAGAAAGAAAGAGAGAGAGAGAAAGAAAGGAAGGAAGGAAGGAAGGATGGAAGGAAGGACAAAATCTTGTTACAGAGCAGGATAAAAAGATGATGACTAAAGAAGCTGAATGAAGAGGAAGGCAAACTGTGATACACAATTACAGTATAGACACTTCTCAAACCTCACACTGCATCATTTTGGGCAAAACAAAATGCTGCACTTACATAATTGACTGATTGTGATAGCTTTTCAAATCCTGTCCAATATTGGCTGTTACTATGATCTAAAAAGAGAAAAAGAGACAAGTATTATTAGTGGTTGAATTAAATAGAATTAATCATACTATGCTCAGTATCATACATATAATTAACACTAATATATTTTGGGTTCATCTCTTATTTGTATAGTTTCTGAATACTTATCAACCCTATACTCTCATTATGTGTACTTAATGGATATGATCCAAAAATGGAACCTTCCCAAATGACATAATATGATGTATATGTATATCTGTACATATGTATGTATGCACATTGTAATGCATGTATACATATATGTGGTACATACACACCCAGATAAAAACATATATATGTTGTATATATAGAATATATATAGATATATAAACACACATATACACACAGCTATGAACACTGTATATATGTGTATATATGTATATGCATACATGTGGGATATATACATACATACCCACACACATCCAGATATAAACACATTTGTATGTATGCACACATATATGCACATATGTAGGATATATATACATGCCCACATAATCCAGATATAAACACATGTATATATACACATATATATGCATATATGTGTATGCATATGTATATGTGGTATGTACTCATACATACACACACACACACATATATACATGTATATATGCACATGCACACACACACATATTTATATTAAGTAAGAAGTCCTTCCCATTGGATTTCAGATCCTTCAAAACCACAGTCTCTCACAAATGCAAGAGTTTTTTATTTCATGTGTGAAGACTCAGGTTCTTGAAAGAAAATGGAACTTTAGATCTCAAAGAGAGCTTGTTAAAATTTAGTCTGCTGCCAAAGAGTCTTCAGAAAAATTTTTTTAGTTCTTTGGACCCTTCATATACTGTTATCCTTTATCAGTCCTCTGAATTTTTGAATTCTCAAAGTGCTTTTAAGTTTACATCATACAATATAACAATCAATTATATGCTGTTTTATGTTATTCTTTGGTTATTTCATGAGGGTACATCTGTTCCCATTAATGAGAATGTAAGCTTCCCAGCCAACTAAGTGGGGCACCGGGCCTGTAGTCAGGCAGACTCCTCTTCATGAGTTCAAATCTGGCCTTAGATACTTACTAGCTGTGTGACTCTGGACCAGGCACTTGAGCTTGTCTGCCTCAGCTTCTCATCTGTAAAATGAGCTGGAGAAGGAAATGGCAAACCACTCCAGTATGTTTGCCAAGAAAACTCTAAATAGGGTCATGAAGAGTCAAACACTACTGAACAACAACAGTAAATCTTCCCAAAGGAAGGGAGTTTTTCTTTTCATTTAGTTGTATTCCCCATAGTGCACAGCTGAATGCTGAAAGTACACACTAGGTACTGACTTAGTGCTTGTTGATGATACTCAAATAGGATGCTACTGGTGATAACTGCTAAATGGTTCAGTGTCTACAGAACAGAAAACCACTCATAAATTTGGTTAATTCAATCAAATAATTGGTCAGCTTAATAAAACAAAAAGAATCTATTCTTCAACTAAACTCCCAAATTGCTTCACTAAATCCACTGGTCAAATGATCTGTCAAAATAATTGAACTGGTAACTCCATAACAGAAAAAGCCTGAGGATGCCTGCCTGTGCAAGTGGAAAAAACTTTACAAATTATGCTCACACAAAAGAGCTCTTTGGTCTGTGTTTTTGATCATCTTTTAAAGAGCCTACCCATATTTTCTTTCTGCCTCTATTTCTTAGACCTGTACTCGCTTTGAAGCTCAACATAACCCACTTCCAATTAAAACTCTTAACTCATTTCCCTGGTTCCAGTCTTCTCTGCTCCATTTGACCCTGTGTAATGCAGTCATATTAGTCAAACTAAAATACTGCTTTCATCATGTCACTCCCCTGCTCAAAGACTTTCAATGACTCCCTACTGCTTATTAAATAAAACCTAAATTAAATAAAACCTGGAATTTGAGTTTCTTTACATTTTCTTTACAACCCGAGTCTTCACACATGAAATAAAAAGCTCTTCCATTTGTGAGAGACTGTGGTTTTGAAGGATCTGAAATCCAATGGGAAGCACTTTTATTTAATATAAAAATATATATATATATATGTGTGTGTGTGCATGTGCAATACACATGTGTATATATGTATGAGTGCATACCACACTAACTTACCTCTTTGCTTTCATTTTCTGCTACTCCTCACATGAATCCTCCCTTTAAGTCAAACTGGTTTACACAGTATCTCCTGAATATGGCACTCTTCCCTGCTCCCATTTATATTCACAGCTTTTCATCTATCTTGAATGACTTTCTCCATCTATGCAAATCACATTCATCCATTTTCTCTTCCCTCCTAGCAAAACTCAGCAGAAATGTCATCCCTTCTATAAAGCCTTCTCTGGCACACTCCAGTCCTAGTGATCTCTCCCTTCTATAAACTCCTATGGCAATTTTTGTCTGTACTGTTCAGTTGGCAATTAATCATGGGCACGCCTTTGGGACATCCCTGTTTTGGTCATCTGAAACTGAAACAATCTTTGATTGTTTATTTTTGTTGTTGTTCAGTTGTTTCAATCATGTCCAACTCTTTGTGACCCCATTTGGGGTTTTCTTGGCAAAGATACTGGAGTGGTTTGACATTTCCTTCTCCAGCTCATTTTACAGATAAAGAACTGAGGCAAACAAGGTTAAGTGACTTGCCCAAGTACACACAGTTAATAAGTGTCTGAAACCAGATTTGAACTTAGGAAGAGGACCCTTCCTGACTTCAGGCCCAGCACTGTATCCACTGCTCCACCTGGCAGCTCCTTGACTGTTTGTATCTTGATGCCCTGTCTTGCCTACCAGACTGCAAGCTCCTATGGTCCAGGGACAAGAAACATGTTACCTTACAAATAATAGGGACTCAATAAGATTGATTTTTGTGTGATTTAAATATTTCCAGAAGCAATACATAACCCCAACCTGATGTTTCTCTTAGGGGACAAGAGTGACACTGATAAAAGATACAAAGAATATACTCTTACACAAATACACAAAAACAAAATAGCATCACAATTTTTACACTAGAAACTGGGCTAAACAGAGGCATCTGACACTTTCAATGAAACAAAAATCCCAAGCTATTCACAGAAGTCTCCCAAAAAGGAACCAAGTTCTAACATTATTTTCCTTTTCTCTAAGGAAAAAAAAACCATAAACCAACAACCAAGAGTGAAACCAGGTATCACTCAGTACACAATAAAAACAAAAAGTCTCTTTCCAATTTTGTTTCAAGAAAACCACAAACCAATAATGAAGGTTCGTGAAAAGAATAAAGAAACCAGGAAAACATAACATATTGACTTTGTATACAGTGAAAAGGTGAAATTAGCTCCAAAGACAACACTCATAGGTTTGCCATGACATATCTGTGCCATGAGGGCATGGCACTGCTGTTTGTAATGATTCACGACACTAAACGTCTGAATGATCTTTTCCTCACTAGAATTATAACTTTATGGCTGAGTCCATGTGATGTCAAAACACTCAGTTAATTAACCAACGACCTATTAGTCAACCCAATCACTTGATTGAATTCGGGTATTCTTCTGGCCCTATGTGAAATATAATTGAGGCTGCTGAAATGTTTACCCTTGTAGAGCTGGATCCTCAAGGGGAAGGGAATAAATCCAGATAATTGTAAGTGTATTGTTGGTGTGATTACTTCTCCATTCATATCATTTAAAAGGGATGCTTTTGACTGTAGTGAAACAGGACTGTTCTGATCTGAATGCCTGTGACAGTCTAGAAAGCTCACTAAGTTCTCCAACAAATTTGTTTCTGGATATTTTGTTGCTCTCTAAAATCAAGTCTGCCACCTTATTGGCACAGATGATGAGAATGAAATAGATTATGGACTATCTACTGACACCCTACCTGTCCTCCATTAAAAGAGATATCTAGTCGAAACCACTTCTGCAATGGAAGGATAAAGTTGGTTTTCACAGCAAGGTCTTCCCCTTTGACAAGATGCATTTGAATATGCAGGTAACCTAACGAGAAAAAAAAATGAGTTTCAAATGACAGAAAGCTATGCATAAAAATGGACTTTCTGGTATTTTTCAAAAAATATTTTAACAAGATAACTTCATTTCTTGTTGAATAGGAAAATTAGACCAGCTCTTGGGCAACTTAAGTTAACATTCCACTCTGGGCAATATCATTGTCTATGCATATTAGCTTCCTTACTCTAGAATTAGCCAGTAGGCTAATAAAGCCTTCTCTTTTGAGAAATCCTTACAAAATTCCAATGGCTCTTTGAGGTCATTGTGTTGTACTTACCCTCTTCAGTTAGAAATAAGGATGGTGTGCCATACATTTCATTTGAATCAACGAAATACAGAATCCCACAGAGATGTGCTTTGCAATAATGGAGTAAATAAAGCCATACTGAAATGGTAAACCTGGAAGAGCAAAGGGGGGAAAAAAAGAAAGAAAACTGGCTTCTTTGTCTCACCCAAGAACAGGTTATTATAGTTAACAGCTATCAACAGCTATTATTTTCTTCCTAATAAAGGGATGATTTTGTCTTCAAGTATAGCTTGGGAGATGAGCACCAAGGTATGATTTCTCAAGACAAGGAAACCGCATTAACCTGTACCACAGAGGAGGGAGGCTTCATTGTACACTTCCAACATCCAAACTGACATTTCTGTAAACCCTGTTTTTGTGTTTCTCTGAGAATCTCAGGTGACTGTCATTTCTATCCTTGATTAAGGCTACAAAGCTAAAGAGGAAATAAATATTTAGGTGCTAGTAAGAGATAATTTAATAAGCAGTGATTCTAATTTGAGTGCTTAAAAACAATAACATGACACCACAATTAGGACTTTTGATCCCTTTTCTTTCCTACAAAGATAAACATCTTAAAGAAGAAAAATAGACTAGATTGTAACATGCATTCGTCATATGATAATTGATAGTGCTATGTTGTTGAGTATATTGTTTTCATGCATTTCCATTCATTTTGGTTATTTAATTTCATATTTCCAGCTTACTGACATGGAACAAATATTGCAAATATAAGTTTTTCTGGCAGAATACGAGCTCCATGAAGGTTGCTGATGTTTTGTTTTTTCTCTGTATCCCCAGAGCCTAGCAAGTATTACAGAACTTGAGTGATCATTTTCTTTCTTGGACTTGGGTCATCTTATTTTAAAAAGTAATATTTTACATTTTGTGATTAATAAAGTGTGACAGAAAAGTATCTAATGTACATTTAACCAGAAAGTTATAGTACTATAAAGAGTATATATATAATAGGCACTTTTAGCTTAATAATCATTGGTCCAGGTTGAAACAAATATGGGTAAGGGATGGTTCAGTAGGTGAGTTCTCTAAACTGATGACAATACTAATTCACAACAAGAGTTAGGATTCAGAGAGCCTCAGGTTGTTGAAGGGTATACAGGCATACCTCATTTTATTGTGCTTTGCTTTATTACATTTCGTAAATACTATGTTTTTTACAAATTGAAGGTTTGTGGCAATCCTGCTTTGAGCAAGTCTATTGGCGCCATTTTTCCAACAGCTTGTGCTCACATCATGTCTCTATGTTACATTTTGGTAATTCTCACAATATTTCAACCTTTTTCATTATATTTATTGTAGTAATCTGTGATCACTGATCTTTGATATTACTATTGTAATTGCTTTGGGGCACCATGAACTGCCCCATTTAAGATGGCAAATGTAATCGATGAATATTATGTGTGTTCTGACCGCTCCACCAACTTGTCAGGTGTTTCTCTCCCTCTCCTTGAACTTCTCTATTCCCCGAGACACAACAGTATTGAAATTAGGCCAATTAATAATTCTATAATGGCCTCTAAGTATTCAAGTGAAACAAAGAATCAATTGATATTTCAAACTTCATTGATGTCTTATTTTAAGAAATTGCCACAGCCACCCCAACCTTCAGCAATCACCACCCTGATCAGTCAGCAGCCATCAACACTGGGGCAAGACCCTCTACTAGCAAAAAGATTACAACTTGCTAAAGGCTCAGATGATGGTTAGCATTTCATTTTGCAATAAAGTTTTTTTTTAAATTAATGTGTGTACATTGGTATTTTTAGACATAATATTATTACATGCTTAATAGACTACAGAACAGTGTAAACATTTCATACTAGGAAACCAAAAAATCCATGTGACTTGCTTTTTTGTGATATTCACTTTATTGGGTTGGTCTGCAATATCTCCAAGGTATAACTGTACCAGAATCCTTCAGAATGTCCAGGGCTTGACAGTCTGATATCAAAAATCAGTGGTGAGATATTCAAACAGATGGAACCACATAGCTCCCTCCTGACCACCCAGCTGAGAAAGCTCATGAAGATAAGTTATTACAAGGAAGCTTAGCAATAACATACGCTCACTAAACTGACTAAAGATCTATCTATATCCCAGCAACATGGGAAGGATTAAATCACTCTGCTAAATCCATCCAGTCCAAGGAGGCATCCCTCAATGTAGCTGAAAGAAAATGCATGTTTTACTGGAATCAATGAAGAAAATCAAAAGTTGCCCAACTTTCTAAGTCTTTGACCTAGGAAGGGCAGAGTGGAAGGCAGAAAAAGTGCTGACTAGAGAGCTACATCTGAAATCTTCATGTGGCATCAGCCCTTGGCCTCAGGCCTTTTTCCTATTGTCATTAGTCTTGTCGGATATATAAAATAAAAAAAAAAGCAATAATGTATAAGAAAATAGCATGAAAATAAAGTTAGACTTTGAGTAATTCTAATGACCAATCTTGGTCCCAGAAAGTAGATCATGAAACATTTCTCTTGGCAAAAAGTTGGGGGACTACTTTGCAATGAATTATATAATTGATCAGATGCAATCATTATATGGGCATTTTTATTTAACTATTTTTCTGTTTGGGCAGCTAGGCAGCACAGGGAATAGAGTACTAAAGTCAGGAAGACTCATCTATCTGAGTTGAATTCTGGCCTCGGGTGCTTCCTAGCTGTGTGACTCTAGGAAAGTCTTTAACCCTGTTTGACTCAGTTTCCTCATCTTTAAAATGAGCTGAAAAAAGGAAATGGCAATCCACTCCAGTATCTTCACCAAGAAAACCCCAAATGGAGTCACAGAGAGTTGGACACAACTGAAAAACAACTGAACAAATTTTTCTCTGCTTTAATGGAAGGTTAAATACTTGGATGGGTGTAAGGATGGAGGTGGCTACATATGAAAATGACTGCTATGTAAAAACAAAAGTCACCAATAAAACTAATTGAAAATAAAAATCTTTTCCCCCAATTTAACTAAACCAAAGAATAGCTGAGAGTTCACAATAATTCAGGAAAATTGGGCCTTCCAGGCCTACGGAGCTGTTTTAGGACTTATAGACCTTAATTTAGGTTACACAGATATTGACCTTTTAAAGAATGTATTAAAAAATGCATGTCTTTTAAAAGACTGCATTAGACTGAGTATATTCCCCAGGGAGAGTCAATGAGCACCACTGGCCTCTGGTTTATATTCTCTATACTCACATTGGGTAATCAATACGCTGGCGTCTGGTTGCCTCAAGCTCTCTGTTCTGAAACCTCTGGAACTTTTTCACAATTCCCGTGTTTTCTCCACTAGATGCATAGGGAAAGCTGAGAATATTGACCACATCTGAAAATAACAAAAATTTTCAGTTTAAATGATCATGTGAAAACCCATGTTACCCATCAAACTAAATACTTAGAGGAAATATTTTTGAAGACAGGCAAAAAAAATCCCAAACTGTACAAAACTTGACTCATAGGATAATGAGAACCCTTGAGATTTGTATAGTTCCTTTATTCTAACTTGGAGACTCAGTGTAGCTGGTTTGCTGTTCAGAGAAATTCTATGCATTTAGGTATCCTCATCCTCTAACATGCAAAATCCCTTAAGCCAGGTGTATCATGACTTTGCAGAGGTGGGGGAATTTATACTCTGTGTCTCTGGGAGGCACAGTGAGGTACACAGGCAGAACCTTCAAGGCAGATCTGGGTTAACTCAGTTAATCCCAACCAACAACTAGATATGGCTAGTCATTGGACTCACTAGACATTTATTTTCCTATGGAAATAAGGTCACTGAACTAATTCCTGGAATCACAGGATTGTAGATTTACAGCTGGGAGATAACTTGGAGTTCATCTAATCCGTAAGTTCCCAAGGTGGACCATATCTCCATCTGGGGGGTGCTGGAACAATCCAGGGGGGAGGTAGTAGCCTCAGGTGCAACTGGGGGGCAATGAATAAAAATGAAGGGGTAGTAGAAGCATAAGGAAAGAAGAGAAGATAAGAAAATTTTGAAAAACCGTTCTTATATGTTTCATCTGTTGTGTAACAGAATTAAAATCATAGTGATTATATTATTTTCCAAATAATACACACAAAATGCAAGTTATAACTGATCAGTGGTCAAGTCCACTGACAGGTCTTAACAAGCTAGTGTTGGCAGGCAAGCATATCTTGCATTATCAGGAAGTCCAGCATACACTGACAGGAATATGATCATGTAATGACTTGTTACAATATGATACTATACAGTTACATGAAGCAATATTGCATGATCAAAATTTCAATGCAGGAAAAAACCTACAAATTTAAAATAAATTATTAAATTTAAGATGAGTCATTTTTTTAAAAAATTTTATATTTTTTTGAAATGATGCAAATTTTAAAAAAAACCATTAAAGAGTTAGAGAAAGCAGATTTCTGGGGAAGGTGCTAAGTAATTTTTTTTTAAAAAGGGGCCAGTAGACCAAATAAGTTTAGGAATCTTTGAATCCAATTCTCCCAACCTAAAGATGAGAAAGCTGAGGACCAAAGAAGTAAAAAATGACTTGGCCAACATCCCACAGCTAGTTAATAGTAGGGACAAGATTCAAACTCATATTCTCTGAGTCCAAATTTCATTTTCTTGTTGCCTCTCATTTGTTTTCTTAAAATACTCTTTGGGCTTAGTTTGATAAACTCTACAGGGAACACAAACTATCTCTACTAAAGTATTCAAATCATCCTATTTAGCAGGGCTCCATTTAGGAAAGTAGAAGATAGAGCCACTGTGCAATGCACCAAATGCAAATGTTAGCACTAAACAACAGAGCCTCCTGATGAGACCTAGGGTATCAGAAGTCTGGCTCATCAAAGCAGAAAATTCTCAGTTATAGAAAGAAAAGAATCTCTGGTTTGTTCTAACTGGGAAGTCACCAAAGCACAGTGCAACATCATAGACAACAATATACATATTTAATATAATTAAATGAGCCAAATTTTTGCAATCAGCTTCTGGAAAATCCACCTGCTGTGTTAACAGGTCAACCCACTGGGGAGTAGAGGACTGTGTGGTTATCAAAGCTAACAGGAGACCTGCAGCCTCACCTTTCCCATTCAGACACCACGGTGGGAATGGGCACTCTCAACTTTCCGATCTGCCTAAGGGAATTTGGCCAAAGGACTGGAAATGCCACAAGAGATTTTTAGAGAAACTGGACCAATTTCACCCATCAGGTTCAAGTCAGCTGAACCTTAGTTTGGCATCCATGGGGTTGTGTGATACATAAGACAGACAGATGGCTAAATTGGACCCCTAGGAAACCTTCTGTTAGTAATAGCTGTTGAGTTATCTAGTGTGCAGTAGGAACATTTATCAAATGGGAAAAGGATTTTACTGCTTTCCAACCTGACTCTAGTAATATGGGCTCAACAAAGGTTTCTAAACTGAAAAAAAGACAAAAGAAAAAAAGAAGGTAAAATTAGTGAGTGTTGATGTGGGTCTCCTGTAACCTGGGATTAAAAAGATAGCAACTGGGGAAGGGGGTCCTGCAATAAAAGATTACATAGGAAAAAAAATTAGACCTGAGGGTCTAAACTAATTTTAAAGCACCCCACAGACCATCCAACAAATCCAAATTAATGGTGATTTCCTTCTGAAATGGAAAAACTAGACCTTGTGCCTGGAGCTTCAACAACCATATAATTTGGAGATTCAGGGTTATGACAGATAATGTTATGGCTTCCTTTCTACTGTTTACTTCTAATTGGATTGAGAAGTAATCAGTCAACTTTATCATCCATGGATTTTACTGCTGGAAGGGACTATTTAGCTGCTCTAGTCTAACATTTTTATTTTATAGATGAGGAAAATGGGATTCAAAATTGTTAAATGACTTCACTAAGGTGTCCTAGCTTGTAAGAGCCTGGATTAGAACCCAGGTCCCCTTCTTCCCTTTTGCAGTATTCTTTCCACTATACCATAGTTTATTCTTTCAAATTCCTTCCCCAAATCCAGTTCCTCTGAAAGAACTTTGATTTGATAGGTGCACCTGGCATGAGGTTACTTGGCTATGCCAAGATGCCAAGATAAAGATTATACCAAAATGTCACGAATCTTTAAAAAGCATCATCAACACTCTTGTTCATTTTATTTAGATCATGCAAAAATGTGCAAGGTTCTGTGATTTCATCAGCATGGGAATGTGGGAACCTATGAAATCATAGGGAATTTTCTGGAGCATTGAAAGATTAAGTGATTTGCCCAAGGTAACACAATAAATGTTATTAGAAAGTGGTGAGTTCCCCTTCATTGGAAATCTTCAAGCAAAGGCTGAATGACCAGTTGCTGGATGAGTCGTAGAGGGGATTGTTTTTTCTGGGTATGGATGGGCTGGACTAGATGGCCATCGAGGTCTCTTCTAACTCTGACATTCTGTGATTCTATGAATAAACTAAGACATGGCAGAATAGGATGTGAGCCACACCACTACTCATTCAGATCACAAGTCTACTAAAAGGAACCATTAGGCACAGAGTGTGCTGTTGCTCCTCTATAAGAACAGCATTAACACAAAAGCCATCCAGAATCTTCTCCATCCTATGAGAAGTCAGATTTTCATGTAACCAGACACGTTTCTTACAATGCAGCACAGCACAAAGAAGCCTTATTATTTTGTCCACATTTTAGGAGGAATATGGAGAAACCAGAAATAGTCTGAGGTGGTGGTGGGGAGGGGAACAAAAACCCTTGTAAATGGAGCCTCGAGGCCACAGGTTCCCCACTCCTGGTGTAGCCTCAGCTGCCTCAAAGTCAGGGAAAAGGACAAGGTGACCCTCTGAAGTCTCATAGGTCTGTGAATCTATGTCTTATTTAATACATAGAGTCACAGGGCTAGGGGAATCTTCAGAGGTCTTCCCTTCCCTCCTGGGTGTTTAGAGTTAAGTTTGTGATTCTAGAATAAAGTGAGGCTGGATAATAAAAGAATGAAAGCAACTGAGATTTAAGAAAAAAAAAGTTATGTAGCAAATGTTTAGGTTTTTTGAAAGCCAACAATTACAAAACTGCAGTAATGGTATGTCGCTTACCTGCAGAAAGCCACAGCATGAACTGACATTTTTATAGGGATAGTTAAAATCCCATTACCACAAAATCTGCAGGCCCCCTAATTATTTTTGCTGCAAAGGAGTTTTGTTAAAAATTAATACATCCCTAGAAATCACATTCTAAGTCTATAGCTGAAACAGTGCAGATACCTTGGAGCTCTGGACTGAATTAGTCCATGAAAAGAAAAGGACAGGCTGAGGACCGGCTGAAGCTTAGTATGGGATGGAAGGAACTCAAATTTGAAAATGACCCAATGCCAGGAGGCATGTTAATATGCTGGATTACAGAATTGAGATCCCCAAAAAATGACTCAAAATGCTAGAAAATGGGTTAGATTGAATTTATTCAGATAAATATAAATTCTTCACTAAAAGTTTAAAAAATCAACTTCCCAAGTTGACCAGGGAGTCCTGACTAAACAGTAATTCATTAGAAAAAGATCTGGGGCTTTTTTTTTAGTGAATTGGAAGCTCAAAATAAGTCAAAGCATGCCACACACAAGAAAGCTAATGTGGTCTTAGACTTTTTAGATAGTAACCAGAAAAAGGAAGGTGATAATCCCCCCATACTATTCTGTCTTAGTCAGACTTCATATGGAGTATTGGCAGCTAGGTAGCCCCATAGTGCATAGAGCTCTGGGCCTGGAGTTACAATGACCTCAGTTCAAATCCTACCTCAAATTTACTTACTAGTTCTGTGACCCTGGGCACAAACCTCTGTTTGCCTCAGTATCCTCATTTATAAAATGGGGGATAATAATAGCACGTACCTCCTAGGATAGTTGTGAGGACCAAATGAGATGATCATTGTGTTTAGCACAGTGCCTGGCACATAGTAAGTGCTATACAAATGTTAGTTATTATTCTTTTCAGTTCTGGGCACTACATTTTAAGTTAATAATTTTGAAAGTGTCCAAAGGAAGTAACAAAAATGATGAAGGAACTTTGGCCAGACCACATGAGAACTAGCTGAAGGAATTGGGGATATTTAGCTTGGAAAAGGGACAAATTAGGGAGGGAACATGATAGTTGTGTCCAACTATCTGTAGGCTATTGCATGGAAAAGAGAATGGAACTGTCCTGCTGGGCCTCAGAGCACAGGACCAGGGACAGTGGTAGAAGTTGCAGAAAGGTGGATGTAGGTTTGTTAGAAAGAAAAAAACTGTTGACAATTAGAGCGATCAAAAAGTAAAATGAGTTGCCTTTTGAGAGGTTATAAGATCCAACACACTTAAGAGGTTTTCCATTAAAAATTAGATG